ATTCTAGTAGGGTCCTAACATATAAGATATTCCTCAGAAGTTATTAGGAACCCATGGTTAACAATCGGGCAAGCGGTATGAGTAGAAATTCTCTTCTGAACATTTTTTCATTTTTCTTTTGAGTGTGAGTTCATGTGTCCCTTGCAGTAAAACTGTCGGTTAGTCAAAGTTCATACCGGTGAAGTTTTGGACTGAGCAGTACCTGTCTGCTTGCTAGGACTCTGAGATGCAGTCCGAAAGATATTTAGGCTAAGTAGAAAAGAAAAACAAACTCCGATACGGTTGCGTAGGACTGACAAAAGAAAATGTCCACACGTCTTACCTAGCATCGTGTTACCTTCAACTTTTTCGTTCCGATGGTATTCTGTATACCTTAGGTCATTCCTGATCCTTTTAATTGTCGAAGAATATACACCTGATATCACGCTCGCGAATACTGGTGCGTTTTTCTTTCTTTTAATTGTTGTTTATTATTATAGATCAGCTTAGGTAACACAATATATTTGACTGATTAAAAAAGAATAAATTATTTGAATGACCAGTTGGAAATAAAGTTTTAAATATAAAGTATAATACTGCTATGAAAATCATAATAAAATTCTTCTGAATTTATTTAAACACTCGAGCTCTCAATCACAACTTAGATCATTTTCAAGAGTGAATGACAAAAGGAAAAGAAGCAGTATATATACAAAAATACATGCAGAGCGAAAGAAGAATTTTGGAAAAATCTAAAATACCAGACAATAACGAAAGAAGAAGAGAGGAAAAAACCATAATAACACATTAGAATTTTATTATGATTTTCATAGCAGTATTATACTTTATATTTAAAACTTTAAAAAAGAATATTTTCTATTAGTTATAAAACAAAGGACAATGGAAAATATATTTGAACTGAAGAAGGAACATAAATGCTCGACAATTCATCGTTTTTCTTTACGATATATAGGCTTTCATTTATTCATTCTATTTGGTTAACTCAAATGGATATGAATTTGTTAGATTTTTTTTTTCTTCTCTTGTCAAACAATCAAAAGGAAAACACGCACACAGGTGAAAGCGGAAACTACTTTCTTGAAAAATTCAAGGACGTGGTTTCAAAAGTTTTATCTTTTCAATGTGTAGAAAATGACCCAGAATAGTTTTTAAATTAGGACTGAACAAATGTGTTGTATCTATATGTTTTTAAAGAAAACGAAGGACACTATCATTAACAGAATGATGTTTGCTCACCCCGATGCGATTGTTACATTAGAGTATGTGCTTTGTGACGAGTAATTCTTTAGTTTTTTACATTTCATCTTCTGCTTTGTTTTCTACTGTATACACATACAAATAAATGCATACATTACCCAAGTAATTATACATTTATTTATTTATCGTTTCATATATCTGAATCTCCCTCTCTTTCTACATATATCTAAGGCGCACATAATTCAAAGTTTAAGCACTATTTTATTTTTGGCTTAAACATACACCATTCGACGCAGAATTTTACGCTGATTACGAATATCTTATTTAAAAGATTTCCAATACGCGTTTTCTACGAGAAAAATTCAAAAAATTGAGATACTCTCCTTTTCGGAAAATGTCTACTTTTGCGTAAATATTGAATATCTTTGTTTTTAAAGAGCTTAGAAAATTCGGACAGTGTTTTTCGGATTCTACGGAAGGAATTGGTTCTAGGCAAGTGTTTTTCAGTCTTATAGCGCATTCCGTAATGGAGCTGCAGATCGTTTTTTTTGATGGGTGTCAAAACGGAGGCTCTTCGTTTGCCGATCTAATTACTCCCGCAGTTTAAGAGATAGAAACTTCGGTCTTGCGTCATTCGAACTGTCGGCTTTCAAGCTACAAAAGTTTGGTCATCGACTTTTGAGTTTCGCTTCCGTTCTCAAAACATATCATTTTCTTTACAAACATATGTTGCCACAGAGAAATCGGCCAGTCATTTTCATATAAATTTCTTATTTTTCGTTCAGAACTATTGAAACTTAGTACAAATAGGTTGATGTATATCTTTGTTGATTCGGATAAAGAAAAGGTCAGCGGTCAAAGACCATTATGGACCTAACAATAATAAAGATGTTGTCCGTAGGTGCTCACAGAAGGGAATTATGGATAAGAAAAAAGAGTAACAATATAAAAAACTAAGAAGTCAGGCCAGACGACAAGGAAAGGATGAATATCATAAAATTGGAAATTGAAAACTACAAATAGGTGATTTTTGACGTTGAATTTATTGATGGCACTTTAAGATTCTTTCGAAGCTTACCAATTGATTTTTATAAACAGATTGTGGTAATAAATGGAAATATTTGCCAAATAAATGGAAGTATAAATGGCAATATTTTCTTCGCAGGTTTATTATCTGTTCCTTTTCTTGTCGACGTTTGAGAGAACTTAGTCAACCTGAGGTTGGAATTTTCTTAAAAACATCATATCTTATAATATAATAAGGTAATAAATCGCTTTAAGCGTTTTCTATATTTCGATAGGTTTATTCACAGAAATGAAAAAAGAAAAGTAAGAAACGATAGAGAGTGAACCAGAGATTTTGTTCCAGAGAACGAAATAGAACGATATGATGTTGATATATGAGATATATATCAACATCGCGAGAGAGATAGTAAGGAAGAAAATTTTCATAATCACACTTTGATCTGGCAAATATTTGCTAAAAGCGTCGTCAAAATCGGATGTAAGACAAAAGTTTTTTCACTCATGATATCTAAGAACTCTCTTCATGTGCGGACCCAAGTAAGTATGTAACTGTGCGAGATTTTGAAGTAAAAGTACATCAGAAAGCTGATATAATCGCAGATATGAGCAGTCTTAGGGTAACCTCATACTGATAATTAACTTTTATTTTGAATGAAATGAAATATCAACAAGTCGAATCAGATTTGTGAAATAACAATAGTAAACTTTTTAATGATTATATTATCATTGTCTAAGTCATCGATATTTTTATTCATACGTTCATCACTATCTCTGATTAAACAATACAAATCTTCAGCTACAGGCATAATCCACTTATTATCATCGATACTACGTACATACGGTGGCTTCTCAGAGGATTCAATACACGAACATGTATTGATTTTTCCTCGAATAAAAACACTTTGTAACATGAATGTTCAATTTTATGTACCGTCATGGGTAAGACATGACAAAATGTAATTTTTCTAAAATGACAATTATTCATAACATTATCTCCATTATGGCATGCTAATGACGTATTTCGTTTATAATCAATTCCAAGAAATCTTGGCAAAGTATAAACTTGATATGACATATTGTTTGTAAATATTAGTGTATTGAATATTTCATAGACTGAAATAGATGGTTTTAATTGTGGGATAAATAGTATATTTGTAATTATTAAACTTTCTAGACGATAAACTGATCGATGGTCATTCTGCTTCGAATTACCATTTGTACCAGAATCGTTGTCCGGTACAAAATAAAATGTTGACGATGCTAATAAACGATTTATTACTGTCATCAATAGCATATCAAACAAAGATAATAACTTTTGTGATCGATTAAAAACTGTATTTGTTAGATGACGTAATTCTTCACGCGAAAGATAATCAAGATTTTTTTACTGTTAGATAGATCATCTAATGATCGAGCAATTTTATCACAGTGAATGTCACCTTGAATTGATGATATAAACTGTTCTAAGGTAACACGTAGAGTTTTTTCTAATGTTTCCATATGATTATACAAAAGTAGAAGACGATCTTGTAACATTACCATTGAATGACGTGTTTGATTTAGCTACTCAACTATAGCTGCTTGATTTTCTGTAAAAAAAGATATGATATTAGCTACTGTTGACTGTAAAATTTTATCATTGGTTTGAATGCGTTCAATTAGTTGTTGCTCTGTTTCTATAATGCCAGCTATTTGTAATGTATTATATGCTGATGTAGCTAACTTGCTACGATTGTATAACCTTCTACAAATTAACGTTTATTTCTTGACCTGATCTGATCAATACTATCCATACACCGTTCACTAAAAGGTTTTTGTGATGAATTAGTACTAGAACGTAATATTTCATGTGAATCAGTAAGATTATTTTGTATAAGACTATTGTTGGTTGAATTCGTACAAACGGTCAAAAGTCGTAATATTTTAAGATGATCATCTAAGGTGACCCATCGCAAAATCCTGTAAATTTTCTCTTAGATGTTCCTTCATTACTCCAAGAACAGCTCGAGCCGCTTCGCATTCTACATTATCTACTTTCTTTAAATTAACCAAGCTAGTCAATGAGAAAACGATGCAACCATCCAAGCACGAAAAAAGACTTTCACCAGATGCTAGATGCACTAGTAGATCCAGTTAGTTGCATGAAGCTAGCTGTAGTTATTTTTTTATTCTTTAAAAATCTCCATCGTCAACATTTCATTTCCCCATATTTCTTTGTTATGCTCAAGCACAGCTACTGAGATCCCTGATGAGGGCACCACTAACACACTGTTTTGGAGATTCGTCGTGAGGCGCCCTCATCGGAGATCTCAGTAGCTGTGCTTGAGCATAACAAAGAAATATGGGGAAATGAAATGTTATCTGAAGCTTATTCAGATCTAAAATTTTCATCCAATGAATTTCAGTTCGAATTTTTAACATCCTACATGTTTTAGTGACACTATAGCGGATGCACTTAGTAGTCAGTCCTTATACCATATCATTTCGGACGAGGCGAAAAAGCAGTGTTTGTTATACAAGCCACTTATTTCTGAAACTGGTATCAAGTGGTGAATGATTCACCTTGATTGCATCCTGTTCCCGAAGAGAAAGCCTCGTGAAACGTCAAAAAAAACGTCAAGTACCTTAAGAACGTTCATGTTTGAAATAAATGATACCACTCTGCCGTTACTCTGGAAAGGAACGGGAAAGTGCCACCCCTAGTTTTAAATAGACCCTTTTCAGATTTGGAATGAAACCCGTTTGGTTTTTTAAAATATGTTTTAAGAGTGTACACAGTCATAAAGTCTTTCAAAATAAGCACGAATATGAAAGAAGAACGCATGCATGTCGATACATTCAGTTCTAGATGTACAATAGATGATTTGGTTAAAACAAAGACGTTTAGATGTATGCAGCGAGACATTGACCTATCTAATTGCATCGTTGGAATAAATGTATTGATTGAACATTGACCTCTCGGTGCACGGATATGGTAACTAAGTGTATCGTGGGAGACATTGAGTCATCTACTTGTATTTGAGATTGGGATTAAGTCGTGTATCGGATGAAATAAAGAAAACATTCACGCTTGAACTTTCAGAGAATGTATACCCGAAGATATTTTCGCTAGGATCAGTTCATTATTAGTGCCAATCTAATATTCTGTGAATGAGGCGGAATGGCTAGGCCCCAATCCGCTGTGCGTCAAACAGGACCGAACTGATCTTTGCTACATCCTGAGAGTCACTAACAGCAAAGCGATCTTACACCGAGGATACCCACAATTGTTGTAAAATACATCAACCTTTGATGCATTTCTCACTTCTGTGCATTTTTATTTCAAGACCTTTGCACAGTAAACATCGATTGAGAAAAAAGACACAGAAGTCCTTAGATGTAGTACACTTTCTGAGAAAGAAGGCTCGTTTCTGATATACCCAACGTCTGAAGAAAAATTCCAACTGTGCAACATTAAAATAAAATGATTTATATGTCCCAATTCTCTCACTCACTGCAACTGCCGTGTACTTACTACGTAAATTAGTTAATTTTTTGTTTCAGTTCTGCTTTAGAAAAGTTAAAAGCAGCCCTATAAAAAAAATTCCAGTGCGGCACTGGTAAAAATCAGTGCGGCACCGGTGCGCATGGCATGCCATCGGTCACTGGCACTGGCTGGCACCGGTGCTCACCCGTGCCCAGCAAGTGCCGAACCAGTGCCGATTGGCACCCGTGCGCAGCAGTACCGATATATTTCTGCCGAAAGAGTGCCGCACTGGCAAAAATCAGTGCCGCACTAATAATTTATTTAATCAATTTAATTAATTTTTTATTATGGTTGTTTATGCTGAATTTTGTATTAGAATGCGGCACTGATCAGTACCACATCGACATGTCAAAACCATGCGGTATTGCCTCGGCACTCTCTTATGAGAAGGAAAAGATGAAGTCAGAAAGACATTCGAAATATTAGAACAATATTTTTTTGCAGGGAGATTAAACTGCAAAAAGTTTGAATATAAAGTGATCTTCACACAGTGCCTTGTATAACAGACACTGCTTTTTCATCTCGTCTGAAAGTATAAGAAAAACGTCGATATCTACAATGTGTGTATATAAAAAAAAGATGGCGTCGTCGATAGAAAAAAATAAGAAATAAGTAGGCTACTATATAACTTCGAACTTTTTGCAGCTTATATCTGCTTTGAACTGAAATACTGATACTGACGAATACTGCTATTGAAAATACTGATGTCGAAAAGAAATTTTTTAACAGTGTTATTTAGCGTTTTTTACATTGAAGGAAGCATTTTTGAGACTCGAGTCTGAAACATGTAATGCAGTAAATTTAATTTCCTAAAATTTATGTGTAAAAAGCCAGTTTCTAGAAGCTGATCTTCAGGGTAGAAAACGATTTTTTGTGTTTTTAACCCCGAAGATCGAATTGTATGAAGTCGGGGTTACCAGATCAAAATTAAATGTGACATCCACTTTGTTGGCCTAATTTTCGCTATTTCACTGTGAAGGAAGTGGTTTCCAAAGTTGAGTCTAGAGACAAAAGATGTTAAATTTAATTTCATAATTTTGATCTGGTGAGCGCGACTTCATACAATTCGATCTTCAGGGCTAAAAATATCAGAAACCGTTTTGTACCCTGAAGATCAGCTCCTAGAAACTGGCTTTCCGGACATAATTTTCAGGAAATTAAATCTACTGCATTTCATGTTCCAGACTCGAGTCTCAAAAATGCTCCCTTCAATTGTCAAAGCAGTGTTTTTCAGAACGAAAACGGTTTCTGCACTGTAAATGCAAAACGGAAATGCGTTTTGTATAGTTGCAAATGCAAAAACCCTTTCGTTTTGTAATCTACGTTTTTTTCACGTAGGAAAATAGATTAGACATGACTCGGTGTGGTTGATCACAAGCGTTGTTTTATTCCTAATGAGTTAAAAGTAGTTCGACATGATCTCTACTCGTCCTGGTTCTTTTTTTCAGAACAGGCTACAATTTTATCTTATCAAGCAAAAGAAAAAAAACCGCCAGTTATTTTATTATGCACATAACTGAGTCGATTTATATATGTTGTAAATAATTTTGAGAAAATCCCTGTGTCCCCCCTCAGGGATGGCATTTTCTTCACTAATTAAATCTGAAGCTGCATCATCAGAATTTTCATCAACTTCGTCTGGAGTATCAATATCATCATCAATATCTTCCCATTCATCCAAATTAAATGATGATTGAAATAAAATACTAAAATAAAAAATTCATAATATTGTTTCGGTTCTTTGTATAAACATTTAAATGCGGTTGAGAAGGGCATGGTAAGTTAAAAATCATATACAATTTCAAATGAGGATGGGGTGAGGGTGAAGGTGGGTGGATGAGAGTATAAGATTAACTCTTGAAAAACAAGTTTTAGGAAAAAATTTCATTTCTGAACAACCGGATTAGTGGTTAGATGTCCGGAAAGAGTGGTACGAAATGTAGGTCACTCCTAACTAATAAGGAATTAATTCATCATAAATTCCGCTTAATCTTAATAGACTCTCTCTAATAACCCAAGATTTTCCATGTCTTTGTACACGCTTGCGACACATGTGTTGACACAAAGACACACAAAACCAGTCAATACTTAAAATAAGAAAATATTTCGTTTACAATAGTTATAAAATTCTGACACAGCATGACACTCAGGTGTGACACATGTCAACACAGTATGACACGCTGGCGTACGTGTGTCAAAGCGTGACGGTTGCCGCAATGTCAAAGTATTTCAATCCTGTTCACTAGGAGACTTTGACATTGTGCCTCCTGTCACGCTTTGACACACGTACGCCAGCGTGTCATACTGTGTTGACATGTGTCACACCTGATGTCATGCTGTGTCAGAATTTTATAACTATTGCAAACGGAATATATTCTTATTTTAAGTATTGACTGGTTTTGTGTCTCTTTGTGTCAATACATGTGTCGCAAGC